ATATATATATATATATATATATATATATATATATATATATATATATCGTTCCATCCGGTAACGGACGGTCCGTGTACCGGTCAGTTAATGGACCGGTATGCACCATCCGTACCAGGCGATATTATTCGAAATTGCATACCTTGTGGTCATGTTCCTTTGATTGTCCAAGAATCTGTCAGAATTAATTGGATATTGTGTTGCACAATACCAATTAAATATTAAAGAGTATATTTTACGAGGTGATTGCTGCATCTAGTTTGACCAATATAGCATCCAACTTTCTAGTCAAGCTGGCTACTACTTTCAAGAGAACGACTGTTCATTCAGCATTTGAGATCATCTTGTAAAGCAATAGGAGAGAGAAGCCTGCCTTATAGACTACAAGGTTCTGCTATTTAACAGGTCTTAGAAGGCTCAAATTTAATTGGAAATTGCGTAGATGAAAAGTGTGAGTGAAAGATTGTGGACACAAGGGTACTGATCAGATTTCTGTAGGCAAAAATTTTAAATTGTTGGACTGAATGTGTTGATCACCGGTCTGCATGTAAGCTGTTGTAGTACCCAGTATGTTTATGCTAGGCATACCACCCAGTAATGTTACTGATATTGAATTATACCATTACTAGACAATAAGCCTATGCATAGTGTCAGCTTCCTTTCCTATCAAATTTATCTTAACATCTTGGATTTTGGGCCTTCCTTTCTTGCTACAGAGAAGATTTATTGAGAAGCTAGGTTTTTCTCCAGAAGAGCTTGTTTTTTTCTCCAAACAAGCAATTGGTAACAATAAATTGTCAACTTTTATTTAGCTTTATTACTATATGACAATAAACTCTTTTTTGTATCGTCTTTAGTTTCTTCAACTTGAAGTATAGACTGCCATTTATCTGTATCTCTTGCATCATGTGCTTGCTTCGAGTAAGATGGCCATTGAAACCCAGCAGTTGCCTGTTAGCACTTGTGCAAGCCCATTTGTTTGAAGTGTAAGAACTGTTTTCTACATACAGACATGATTGTTTGGTGGTCTAAACTGATATAGCCTTTATTACTAGATATGCACAGTGTTGATGGTTTTAAAAAACATAACTTTATTTAGCTTGATTATTTTGAATTGTTGAAATGTGTGCTGTAATGTATAATCTGTAGATTAAATTTCACTACAAATCTTGTATGTAAGAAAAGCTTACTGTTTGACAACATAGTAAGACTGCAAGAGTGATAGGTGTTCAGTAAGGGTATGGTTGATTAATCTAAATGGCCCTTGTCTAGAATTTTATGTGAAAATTGTGCCCTCATTTGAAGTAAATTCACTTATTCAGCTAGAGAACCACTCTTGCATTTTTATTTAAGCATAGAATATTTTTCTTTCTGACCACATATGTTTTTTACTTCAAAGCATAGGTTAAGATTACGACCAGCAGTAAGTACTATTTCCATTTGTAGATGTTCCATTCTGGCGATGGTTTTTCTGCCTTTGTTGGAAAGGAATTCCTTTACTTCAGGGCTTTTTCTTGTTTAACCATCGTTTTACCTGCAGAAATCGTTTTGCAAAAGGTATGAAATTTCTTATGTTTACAGAAGAGCAATTGGCCGTTCAACTCCTAGTCGATTTCTTCAGGTATTAAACACAAACTTTATAGGGAACACACATTGATTCTGGAACTTCTATGATTGCTAATTTTATGCCTATGATAGGGTGATTTTGACATTATTGGTGGTGCCCCATCACTGACAGAAGCAGAAGTCATTAAGGTATTCTCTCTTTGTGGTCTAAAATTTTTAAAATATGCTTAATTTATAGAAAATTATTCCTTCACAGATAGATGTTACATGATTTCACTTGATTAGGGTTTTGCAGAATTTTCATTTTGTAAAACCCAGTCAGTTTGGCTCTATTGATCAGTTCTTGTGGTTTATTGAAAAGCTGGCTGAGTTTGCTGGTCTTTACTTGTAATTGCATGCATTTCTTCTCAAAGACTCAAAATTTGCACAATAACTTCTAAATTTCTCTTTTTATTTTTTGTAACAAGATAATGTAATGTGTTCACTTTTCCTAGTTAAGTATTCCAGAATTTAACAAAAATTTGATCATAGAGATTTAATTTCATGCCGCAGTATGTTCCCAACATCTGTTGACGAGCCACATGGGCACGAACAACTAACATCAAATCCATTAGTACACAGTGACACCTTAATGCATGAATGCCCCGTCCCCTCTCTCTCTCTCTCTTCCTGTGTCATTTCTCCCTAAATCAAAGAACAAACCACACATACCGTTGATCTTCTGGTAGTTGGTGATACATCTTCAACCAATACATAATTAATTGATTGAAGTGATTGGATCTTAAAGCAATCTTTTGGTTTAGAGATTCATCAAAGAGAAGAGTCATCATATGAAGGCAACAACAAAATATATAGAGAGGTTTTCTGTGCCAGAGGAATCCTAACTTGATTGCTGCTCAAATTTTATGGATGAAGATGGTGTTACTCTTCACTCTCACAATGTTGAATCTTTGCACGATGCTTCGGCTTGCCTCCAGTGCCCTATATAGAAGTGGAGAGGAATAAAATAAAGGGATCATGATTTTATGTGTTTTTGGGATATATAAAAATGGGCAGCCCAATGTATACTGAATGCATGTTATCCCTGCATCAAACTATAGTCATGTACGCCTAGAATTAACTTCTCCATCAGGTTCCTTGTCTTATTTATATTAGTACCCTTCCATCATCCTTCTTGAGGTTTGGCTTCTATCCCAGTACAACTTGAATTTCAGCCAGAATTTTAGAAAAAAACTGTACACCATAAATGATGCTCCAAACGTATGTACCAGATGACTTAAAATACTTGATGAATTTAGGTGTGCCAAGCCATCTTTCTGGAGAAGGTTGTTTATTTTTATCATGTTAATTGGACGTCACAGTTTGAGTTGAGTAGTGCCGAAAAAGTTCATAGTTCCTTGTAGTGACTACTGTGTTGGAATTTCATTTAGGATAAAGGATAATTATGTAATTGCATAGGTATCTAAAAATGGGGCTCCAAGGAAATTGATTTGTATAGACCATTTATTTTGGACAGCACTGGAACCTCTTGTGAAAGCCTTAAATGTTAACTGTAGTTCTCTAAATTCTGGAGTAATTATATTTTCCATAGATTAATTTGACCAATTTATGAGTTGTTTAATTTATCAGTAATTCAATCCAGCTCCTAAACTGTTGTGAACTTAATCATAGTAGTATCCTGTGTTGTGCACCTCGTGTGGCAAGATTTTTAACAAACTTTCATGATCAGGTGGCATTGGATATTGTAGCCCGCTTTTTTCCTCCAAATGCAATGGAGATTCATTTAAATCATGGCCAAGTTCTAGAATCCATATGGACTTGGATAGGAATACCGGTTGAATTGCGACATAATGTAGCTGAGGTATATTGCAAATAATAAATCTTCGTTACATCCATGGTGATGCATAACGTAACCTGATTCGTTTGATCAAATGCAGTTGCTTTCTGTGATTGGTTCATCTTGTCCTCAGTCCACTAATCGTAAATCAAGTTGGAAATTTATCCGGCGACAGCTCCTACAGGTAATCAATTACTGGTTTGCCTAAAGCCAAACTCACGTCTGCACAGAGCTAGCATGTGCTTCCTGTCAGTGTTCCCACATTTGGATGTACATGTATCTTGAGTGTGGCACTCTCTCGTGTTGATTCCTTATCAGCATGGAGTGTGCTGGCTGGTACTTATTGGAACAGCCAGCATGGTAACCTTGGACTTTGTGCATGATTTTAGCATGCTTCAACCTTTTTCAAATGTGTTTTACTCTTTGAGGTTTGGTATTACATTTCTATTTTATTACTTATGAATCAATTTTACAATCTTCGTTATGTGATTTAAGTACAGTGTTATGCATCCTTCTTTCCTGTCTTTTTCTGAGACTTCTTCAATTGGTCCTGCCATTTACTAATTCTACATTGGTCAGTTATGAATGTCATCATATTTATCTGGTAAAAAATTAACGGATGACAGTTATGTTAAACATAAACAATGTAAGGATTATTTCAAGAGAAAACACAAATCAAATAATTGCACTGTTTTCCTGTTCATGCGATTCTTACCCATCATGTGCCAGAGCACATGGCCTCCATATACATGGACATTGAGTGGCACATCCCATGTGTAGCTACAACACCTCGTGTAATATGAACTCACCTATACAAAATGGTACTGAGCAGTGTTGTAGGGCTGATCTGTGAAACAGTGGTTTGCTCATAATTACCAAAGTTATTTGTCATAACACAGGGAATAATGGAGGATTTGAAAATTATAATTATGATATCTATTATATTATACAGTGCAATTCAAGATAAAAATGAGCTGCATAAAGGCCAACATTCAGACTTATTAAAGCTTTTGCTTGCAGTTGTATCTCAAAGACTGCTAGCTTTTCTCTGAGAAAGTTATTTCCAAAAAAAAAATTAGTAAGGTGATAATATATTGTCAACCTGGCATCAATTATGGAGTTGTGAAATGTCAGAGATATTTGATTTAGAGCACAGATAAATTGAAATGCTGGAAGTTTTTTCTTTTCCTCTCATAAGCTAAAATGTGGACTATATTTCTTCTCAGGATCTTAATCTTTCTGAAGCACTTGTTGACAGACTACAGATAACAGATTTAAGGTTTTGTGGATCAGCAGATCAAGCCCTTGCCAGACTGCGGGGAGCTCTTTCTCCAGGTAGTGTCTTCATAGTTCTGCGTTGATCTTTACATAAGATGATTCTTATGATCACTGGAATTGCAGATAAACCTACAAGCAAGGCTCTTGAGGAGTTGTCGGCTCTTCTTAGATACTTGAGGATATGGGGTATTGAACAAAGTATTTCTATTGATGTTCTTATGCCTCCTACTGAAACATGTTACCAGAATCTTTTCTTTCAGGTAGTAGTTATTTTTTGCTCGTTCACTGTTGCTCGAGGAAAACTGTAAATATCAACTCGAGAGCATTTGCTAAAATTGAATAATGCTAGCCTCAGTTTACTTGAAAATTTTTTAGATGATATAAGTATATGACTACAAATCCCAATGTAGTCCTCTTGTTTGACTTTTGTGCACTTATTAAAAAAAGATGACTACTACAAATAAGAAATTTCTAACTTAAGTAATTGAACTAGTCTTTTGTATGATCAAACCCTCATGAATGTGTGTACTTCATATATGTGTGTGTCGGTACACACATATTGATATATAGCTTTATCAGAACACTGGAATCTGATATATGCTAATTTTGTACTTGCTATACAGTAGTTGATGTGCTGTTTTTTGTTATTTTAGCCAAAATGTTGTGACTACATATTTGATACACAGCATACTTTTTTCTATTGGAAGATATACCAGTGATATTCTCTTTATCTTTTTGTTTCATTTATCTGATAGATTTTCCTTGTGTGTCATTTTGTTGCATCTAATTAATGTGATCCTATCTTATCTTCAAATAGATATACTTGAAAGAGAGTATCTCTTCGAGTTCTGAAGCATTCTTGCTTGCTGTTGGTGGCCGGTATGATCATTTGATTCAGTGGACATGGGATAGTGAATGCGTAAGTTTTACAATGTCAAGCTGCTTCAATTATTAAATTTCGTTTGGTCATCTATTGCATACAATATATGATGATCTTTGTCGATAGAGGTTTTTAAGATACCTTTATTTTTTTAACAACTCAGCTTGTTTATAGGTTGCGACAATAACAACAACAACAACAAGCCATAATGTCTCAACTATTTGGGATTAAAGATCTTTCATCATCATTGAGCCCTATACAGTGATTGCAAAAGGCGCTCGGGTGCTCGCCTAGGCGCTCGGGCGAGGCGAGGCGAGGCCCGAGCGCCTCGCTAATGTCCTAGGCGGCGCGCTTCAAACAGGCGCCGCCTGGGCGCTCGCCCGAGCCCAGGCGCTGGGCGCTTCGGGCGAGCGCCTGGGTAAACCAAGGCGACCGAACCAGAATTTTAGGTCTGGTTCGGTCCTGGTTCGGTTGCTAGTTGGTTCAATCGAACCAACTAAACCGATATAACCCCAACCCTAACCCTAACCCTAACCCAACACTAACCTGCTGCCGCTGCCGCTCTCGATCCCGATCCCGATCCCGATCCCGATCGCGATCTCGTCGCTCGCTGCCGCTGCTCCCGCTGCCGCTGTCGCTGCTCGCGCCTCCCGCGAG